GGCTGGCCTCAAAGCCAACCCAGCCAAGTGTGCTATAGGGCTAGCTGAGGCTAAATACCTTGGCTACATTGTAGGAAGGGGCATGGTCAAGACCCAACTAAACAAACTAAAGGCTATCCAAAATTGGCCCTGGCCGAATTGGAAAAAGCAAGCCTGGGCATTCCTGAGTGTGGTGGGGTACTACCGATGATTTATTCCCCATTTCGCTACCAGAGCGAGTCCCCTGAAAGGCCTGATAAAAGCCCAGGGTCCAGACATGGTGAAGTGGACAGATGCCGCAGAGAAAGAATTCATGGATCTATGGACAGCCCTCTGCAGTAACCCCGTGCTTATAGCCCCAGACTTCAACAAAGAATTCATTTTACAAACAGATGCATCTGAAGTAGGATTGGGAGGTGTCCTATCTCAGATGGTTGGAGATGAAGAACACCCAATCCTCCACCTCAGCAGGAAACTCCTCCCAAGAGAGCAGAAGTATGTGGTGGTTGAAAGAGAGTGCCTAGCTGTGAAATGGGCCATGGAAACACTATGTTATTACCTTCTGGGACGACAGTTTACCCTTTTGACCGACCATGCACCCCTCCAGTGAATGCAGTGAAATAAAGAGAAGAATGCAAGGGTGACCAGATGGTTTCTGTCGCTTCAACCTTTCCAATTCACCATAGAACACTGGGCTGGAAGCCACCATGGCAATGCAGATGGCTTGTCACGAGTACACTGCCTGACGACCTGAGTTGCCCAACCCCATAGTGTTGAGCAGAGGGTGGATATGTGACAGTCGGGCCAGATGGCTATAGGAGAGTAATAGAAGGCAGATATATTAGCCCCAGGTTAAGTAGGTCCCGTTTCCCTGAGTAAGGTAACAGGGAAGGTTCCAGAACAATCAAGAACCTTCTGGAGACAATTAAGACAGACAGGCTGATTAGAACACCTGCAGCCAATCAAGAAGCTCCTAGAATCAATTAAGGCAGGCTAATCAGGGCACCTGGGTTTAAAAAGGAGCTCACTTCAGTTTGTGGTGCGCATGTAAGGAGCTGGGAGCAAGAGGCTCTAGGAGCTGAGAGTGAGAAAGCATACTGTTGGAGGACTGAGGAGTACAAGCATTATCAGACACCAGGAGGAAGGTCCTATGGTGAGGATAAAGAAGGTGTTGGGAGGAGGCCATGGGGAAGTAGCCCAGGGAGTTGTAGCTGTCGCACAGCTGTTCCAGGAGGCACTCTAGACAGCTGCATTCCACAGGGCCCTGGGCTGGAACCCGGAGTAGAGGGTGGGCCCGGTTTCCCCCCAAATCTCCCAACTCCTGGTCAGACACAGGAGGAGTTGACCTGGACTGTGGGTTCACGAAAACGGCCAAACTAAGGGCTGCCGTGAAGCTCCAGGGTGAGCAAATCCGCCAATAAGCGCAAGACCCACCAAGGTAGAGGAGGAAGTTTGTCACAATATATATTTATAAATACAGTTGGAGGTAGAATTAAAATAGTGGATTAAAGGTACTGTTGTCTTTAAAATAATGGATAAAATTGATACATTTTCAATTTCATTTCTTTGACTTCAGTATTGCCTGTTGATGAATCTAACTGATGAATCTTATTCCATGACTCTAGCTATATTAACTTTCTCAATGACAGAGGAAGAAACGTTCTCTAGAGAATGATCAAGGGATTTTAAAATGAATGGAAACTGGTACATTCTCCTTTGTTGTGATCATGGACTTGTGGTTATTGAGCCTATAATATATAATGTTGGGTGATGAGTATGATATATCAAGAATTGATGCTCTCAAGTGTAAAATACGTTCTCATTTTGTGTGTGTGTATTATGTATATTTCAATAGAACTAGCTTTGTGAGATGGCTGAATTTCAGTGCTCACAAAAGAGCAAGACAGAGAACCCTGGCTACAGGCAGGTATAATAATGCACACTGGGGCAATACATGCTTCTCCCCAGAACTCTGACCTGACCTGGGGTGAAATCCTGGTCCTGTGGAAGTCAATGGCAAAACTCCCATTGTCTCCAATAATGCCCTGCTACTTTAGTTCTAGTCTTTCTTGCCCAAAGACTGGATATGGACAAATATGTGAAATTTTTGATGTGGCCAGTATAAAGCTAAGTTGAGATCATTAAACTCTTTTCACTTGTGATGCAAACCAGGTTTCACGTTAGGCCTCCAAATGTTATATCACAACCGTTAGCGTATTCACCTACAGTTCCACCTTGCCCATCATTGCATGCATATTTCATATTGTAATGGTTGTCCGTATGTGTACTTGGGAATTGCACCTGCTTTTTTCACAGTAACAGCACTACCGAGGGAGATATGAGTTGTAATCCTTTTTGTATTGAAAGCTGATTGGCCTAGATAGTGGAGATTCAGAAAAGGGAGGGGGAGCAATCACTTAGCAATTTGAGATGTGAGGATATTCGTAATGCATTTAAAAAGGATATTGCCAAATTTTGCATACATGCGTGCATATTTGAATGCAGAATTTGACCCAGGATAATGTGGAAAATGCTGAATAAAAGTAAAAAAAGAAAGCTACCTCAGCTTGTTTTTTCTCTCCGAATACTTGAGGTGTGAGCCTTGCTAATGCCCAAGAAGAACACTTACTATTGTTTGTATATAAAAAGATTGCAACTTGTATAGTACGTAAAACCATCCCTGGGTAGAGGTCCTTAGCACTACATAGACAAATCGGAGTGAGTTAAGAATAAAACACAATTAATGGACTCAACAGATTGTAAATAATAATTTACAAAGATGGAAGTTCATATGGCAAGGAAGGGCTTGATTCTGTAGTCTTTACTGAGCCTGTTGTCTAATAGGCCATAATGCCCAGGAGAGCTGGGGATGCAGCACCCCCTGGCTTGAAGTTGTAATAACAACCAAATTTCATGGTTTCTGGTTTCAGCATCCCCTCTATAAAAATTGGTCAAGCACCTCTGATTGTGCCTATCTTTGTGTCCCAATATATACAGGTAAATAGGGCCAGATTTTCTAATCTTATGGTCTGTATTGCATTAGCAAAAATGCACACACTGTTGCCTTAATGCATGCCCAAATCAGAACACCTGAAAATTAACTAAGTGATCTGTTACACATCTGACCATTTTCATGTACATGTACCTGCTTTGTGTTCAGTAATTATAGCATGTATTAGATATTTGGAAAATTTGTACCACTTAGGGTCTAATCTAATGCACATTGAAGTTGGTGGAAAGACTTCTATTGAATTCAGTGGGCTTTGGATCAAGCTCATGTTGGGTAAAACAGATTATTTTTTATTTCATTTTTTTATTTTATTTTATTTTATTTTATTTTTAACCCATTAATTGAGGGCTCTTTTTCCTAAAACCTGCTTAGTGTCCCCTGACGTCAGTGGAAGTTACAGCACTTTTGGAAATCAGATCACTGTTTCCGAGCCTAACTTTCGGCTCCTATTTTTCAAAATCTTGGCCTTAGAGCTGGTATCTGCTCCAGGCGTAGTCAATGACAAAACTCCTATCAATGGTGCAAAACCAGATTCCTATAGCCCCAAAGTTGTTAGCTTATACAGTTTTTACCCTGACAGAAGCTGAAGCAAGGAAAGGTAAATTTTATTTATTTATATATATATATATATATATATATAAAAACTTGAAACTAACGCACATTGTTTTATGTTTCCCCACCCTTATGTTTAATTATATAAGTTAAATGTCATGGCCATCTGCCTGAGGTGTTGGCATCCCATTCAGATTGCAATTAAACTATATTAAATAAATAATTAAAACTTACTTATAGCCATTTTTATCAGGCTAAAAAAAAATTAGTCTTGATCTACTGAATTGCTAACTTAAAGGAAGGTAAATTTAAGTTCTAGCAAAATGTTTTCTTACAGAATCCCAACCATATGAAGAAGAAGGGGGGAAAAAAAAAGATGAAGTGTAACACAAGTCAGGCAACATATATATGACTCAACAACAGTAATAACATGTTGTTGGAACCACCTAAATAATTAACTGTAAGAAAACAACAGAGTAAAAACTGAAGAAAAAACAGATTGAATTTTCTCAGCAACAAAGAATATCACATTAAATGATTTAGAAGAATTCTTTTTAGCTACTATTAAAAAGAATATAAATGAACTGAGGATGAAATTATACTTCTGAAAGAATAGACTTTTCTGTACATCAAACATTTAATACAGTAAAACAATGCTGTACCTGATGAATAATTAAAGTATGAAAAGAAAAAGCATTCTTCAACTTACCACTTAATTATATGTGTGAAGCACTTTTACACATACTGAAAAAATTTAAGGAATGAATTTTATTTTTCATCCTCATTCATTATAAGCATGAAAGAAGAATTTTTCTGAAATGGTAAGTGTTGTGGATCTCACTAAACTTCTCAGTCACTTTCCGGCACTGTACTTTGTGTTTGGTGAATGGAATTAAGGGTGGGGTTTTTTTTTTTGTTTTTTTTGTTTAAATTGCAGAAATACTTAATGAAGAAAGATAATGGAGCCATATGGCATTGTTGCATACTCCTAGACAAAAGTCTGTGAACGATAAGAGTCAAATTAGGGGAGGAAAAATGTCAATATTGTAAATTTTAAGGAAATAAGTTAATACGAAGGAAATAATGTAGATGTACGTAATACATAGATAAAATTGATGGGTAGCAGTTATTGAGGTAGCCGCCAAAGTTTCCCCCCCCTTTTTCCTCATATTAAAAGAAAAATCATTCTAGCCAAAACAGAAGCTTTTTTTAAGTTGCTTCTCTAAATTATATTGTAATCAGCTTTTAGTTGAAGTCATGAAGTGTTCAAAACATGTTGCTGTAGCAACAGCAGTATTAAATATTTGATCCAGAAGCTAGGTGTTAGCACTAGTCCAAGGAACTGAGAGTGGTGGTGTCTGTAAGGGGATGTTTTGCAATGCATTTATACGTGCTGTCCTTTGTGGTATGAATGTTCACTGGTGCTATCGTGTCACTTGTGTTCATTGCTTTTACCTAGAGATTCCTTCAAACAATATGGAAAGAACAAATGGCAAAAGTGCTTCTGCTCCCTCACACTTCCAGTCTGACAGATAGCTGCACCAATGAGAGAGAAGCCAAAACCTTTCAACCCATAGGATCTTCAATGTTCTGTCCTTGGTACTCTGTCCACCTCCGAGTGAGTACATTCAGTCGCACATTTCTGCTTCCTCCTGCATTTCAGTCAGATGTCAGGGCTTCTTTTTTCACCTCCAGGGATTAAAAAAAGGAAAATGTTATGGAGAAGACTATAGTGCAAGAGCGTCTTCTGCAGTCCTCCACCATGCGCTTGGTGTGTGGAGTGCATCTGGGATCCCCTTTCTCCTATGGGCACCTCATTCAGATTCTGGGATGAAAGGGATGCCCTTATCAAGGCCTTTAGTCAAAAGAGTGATGCCTATAAATGGCTCTATCATTCTGATGAAGCTTGTATTCCTTGTTTGCCTATTTGGTTGGTTGCTTGGTTGGCCAAGTAATTCACTTGCTCCATTCGCAGTGCTCAGGGAACTGCATAGTAGACCCCAAGGGGTACCCATTCTTAAGTCATGATCAGATGTCCTAAACAAGCACGTGTCACATTAGCAGCAGAGGATATGGATTCTAATTCTTCCAGATACTTTCTTCTGCAAGACCCTTCTTCCTCTTAAGTTATCTTTCTGGATTTCTTTAAACTAGCAAATTAAAGTTCTTCTCTTCTGAATGAATGGAGTGGGAGAAGAGTTGAGTAGTTCTGACACTCCTTAAACATCACAGAAGCCTTCATTTCAATTTAGCAGGATTTATGAGTTGTGTTCCTCTGATCAATGGTCCCTGCAATCGAAGGATGTCCAGTGGGAAGCCAGAGTTTCCAATGATACATTCAGCCAGTGGATTCTTGGCTGCATTTCTAAAAGTTCGACTGGAGTCAGGGATCATTTAATCAGAATACTGGTTATTTCCTGGGTACAGAGGTCACTGAGGATAAGGTCTGTAAGAAACCGAATTTATCATCTTTAAATAAGATCACCAGACATTACAGAGAGGATACCTTTTTGCCTCTGTATCACTTGAGTCTTACATGCTCTGACTTGTGATGTTTTCTTATCCCTTGCCAGCTTATGCAAACAAAATTACATTGTATTCAGGTGCTAGTTCAAACCATAAACTTTTCAAGGCATTATAACATAGAAACAGCAGTAAAAAATGTTGAACTGGAACATAGGGATTAACTCCGCTTCCAGTAACTCAGAGTGTTTGTCAGATCTTTACTATGGACTAGTGCAGAGAGTATTTTACACTGCGAAGGTTACTAATTTATCTGTTACACTGGTCTAAATTCTCTTTTTCTATCACACCCTGTTTTCTGTTCTGTGTACACATCGACGGAATGTGCTGAGTCGGTAGATTCTTGAACAAGGAACCTTTTTGTTTTTGTCTTTTTTTTTCATTAACTAAACTTAGCGCTGTATGTAGATTTCTGTCTCCTCTCAACGGTCCTTGTGTGCTGTGGTGGCTTAATCTAGAAACAGAGCATTTGATGCCTCCAAAAAGTTTGTGAACGCCTTTTCCACTGGTGTTACTGTTTGTTAGTTTCCAAGAAAAGTGCAAGCCATTAATCCAGTTTGCTGTGTATCTGAGGCTAGGAAGGAAACCTCCCTCCCCCCCACCATCCCCCCCAAAAAAACAAAAAAAACCCAAAAACCCAACACTTTAAGGGACTGTCTTTAATTGTGGATTTTGGAAAGTAGCAGAAGCCAGCAAATCCGGGTGGGTGCTCTTACATTGCAATTCCTGTCTAACTGAAAACAATGTGATTCCTAAACTATATCCTTCCAAGTTGTATTCTTGAGTGTTTTAAAAAAAAAGCCAACCAACCAACCAAAAAAAAAACCAACCCCAAACCCTTAATGTGAGAGTGTCGGCTATTTTACACTTTGCATCTGATATGTAAAATATCTGCATTGCTCTGCAATGTTCATATTGTTCTCTAGCCCTTTTGAATTATAACTTTTCTCTAATGGGGGAGGGAAGCTTATTAAAGGGGCAGATTCAAAACCATATTTTTTCCAGTTAGAAAAATACGCATATTCAGGGTTTTTTTCTTCTTTCCCACTCTAAACAGTTTGTTGAACAGACGTGTATTTTAATTATAGTGGTCTAAGTTTACATAGTGTACTGTGGTATTTTGCTGTATTAATTACTGTGTCAAGAGTAACAGGTAATTACTACATCAAATCACCTTCTTATGGTACATGGAGACGTAACTGGCTGAATTATTCAAAAAGCACATACACATAAGCCCAGAAACCCAAGGTGCAACCTAGCCAAGAATCTTTCTTGTAAAATGAAGCATTTTTTGGTTATGGCACTTCTTTTTGGTAGTATGTCAGAAGTCTAAATCTAAGTGCATGCCTTTCTGTCTCTATTTAATGCCTACATTAGGCACATGCCAAGGACTTGTATTCCCTTCAGACATGAACTCTGTGGAACAAGCTTTCTTTCAGGGCTGATGGAAAAACCTTTTTGCCTGATTTTTGATCCCCTCACAAATCGTGGATTTGAAAGTTTCACCCTTACGCAGATGTTATTGGATTTGCAGTCCAATAAGAAGAGAGTCACTGGAATTCTACAGGACCAAGCAAGTGCACAGAACACCATTTCCTTTTTTAGAACTTTAGTCTTTGAAACACAGTCAAACCCAAACTTCTCTTGCTGCAATTTCCTATCATTGCCATCTGACAGTTTTGGAGTACATAGGGGTGTGATCTGGGAGTTACTGCACTGACTGCTGGTGCACCTTGAACTTGAGACAGTATTTTACCAAAAGGACAGTATGGTTAATTCTGATCTCATGAGTGAATGTTGATTATATTAGATAAATGTGAGAGTCTCATCACTTACTCTGTTGTTTGTTTTACAAACTGACTTTTCCTGGCCTTATACTAGCTGTTTTGCACAAGTGAGTTCATGCACAGATTTTTTGCTCCTGCCAAAACCCACGCTGGAAAGAGAACTTCTTTTATGTTAACTTGGATGTGGAACACCTGAAAGACAAGATCACACATTGTTGCTTTGGTTACTTTTTCTTATCCAGTAGCCAGCTAATTGATACTTTTATGATAAAACTCTGAGACAAATATATCATAACCCTATTCAAGTTTTAATGGGTATATGGTATGTCTAAGAGGCATCCATATGAGTCTATGAATGAACGATGTAAGTCTTTCTTTTGTTGCCATGAAGGAGGAAAAAAATTGACTTGACTTCTTTATATGCACGGAGGCATGAAATGGGAGGTTTTGACTAACATGAGAACTGAAGAAGTCCCTTTTTCAGTGTAATATTCAGTTGGATCTCAGTTAGTTATGGTCCAAGAGTTGCATTTACCCCATACAACTTTGCCAGTTTTAAAGACTCAAATAATTAAGCCCTTATCTCTTTTATTTGTTTTTTAAATATCAATTAGCAGTTAGGTTTCAGATGGAGTTTTAATGTTTCAACTCTGCCCTAATTACCTGTTTTGAGAGTCAGGGTCTTCTTGGACTGTGTTTGGGGTTAAGGGAGCAGCAGCAGCTACAGACAAGCAAGAACTGTTGGGAACCTGGTGGAAAGAAAAGAATCTAGAAAATGAGGTAGGGAGACAGGCCAGCCAGCAATACTAGGTGCTAATTCAAATGGCATTGACTGAGGGGAGCAGGTGGAAAGAGGTGTTGCTTTGGGTGGTTGTTCAAAACAATCTTATGTGAAAACCTGGCCCTCTCCTAGAGCCAGGGTCAGATTCAGTCAGTGATCTTGATCTGTCCCCAAAGTCACTCGTTGTTCTAACAGGTTAACAGGGTGCTTCTCTTCCTTTGCTTTCCCTACTGGGACCAAAGCCTTTTACATCTCACCTGCTTCAGTGTAATTTTCGGAGGCACAGAGCAAGAAGGAAGGAGGTGGGTTCCCTGCCTTTGCCACTGACTGTCAAGACTATTATCAGATCATAACCTCTGGCAAAGGGGTAGGCTTTCATATGCTTCTGCTGCCTTCATTAACAGTGGCCATAGGTCCACCTGTCACTACTTCCCACCCTCATAGTTGAACTGGCACGTGTTCACTGGGTAGTCTGTCATGTGTCTTTCTGCTCTATAGGAGCTGGTATGGACTGGTCATGTAGCCTAGGAGGAGACCACTTACCAGTCCATTCCCAGCCACTTGGAAAGTATCAGTTATGTTGCTGCTTGAAGGCTGATGGCAGTTCCATGGATACAGAAGCACTTTCCAGTCATTCTGCTTTTCTTTTCCAAAGAGGAGAAAGTAGACAAGAACTGTATCTTCTGATGTGAAAAGAGCTTGCCTGTGAGATTCGGGGGGCTCTCTTCTTGATCATCTGTTGCCTCCACATGGTTTACAAAAGTATTTCTAGGAAGAGTGCCGGAGTTTCTATCTTGATAATAATATGATTCCTGTACCTTCCAAGTGACATGTAATAGCATGTATCAAGTGTTTGTTATATCTGTTTCATAGGGCCTGGAAGTAGGGATTCTGCCGCATCCCTGGGCTTGAAGTGGTTTCCCTTATATACAGGGTTTACAGTTTGGTTCAATGGCTCTCAGCACCCCCACTATACAGATTGTTCCAGGGCCAGCACCTCGGATATGTTTGGCTTCTGATACACTTACTTTCACTTTCATCTTGGAAGTCAGTGGCATTCTGTGGTGTATTTGTGATGCCAGGCTAGACAAAAGCGGTTTGAAAATCAAGTTTTGGAATTCTCTGGGCATGAGTAAAATATTTGTCAATGCACTGCTTTGCCATGATTTGGAAAAGTAATATATGCTCTTATGCGATCGGGCAGCTCATATACAAAACATTCCTGTTGTTGTGAGGATGAATCTCTTTTTCGTTTTTAAATTTTAGCCATAGGCTGCTGATCAAAATCTGCTTCCTTTTGGCATTTCAAACCTATGCACTATTCCTCCTCGTGAAAAAGGGCTGATTACCAACATGGAATTCCAAATATCAAACTCAATTGAATTTAATCCATTCCTGAATGCTATTTATCTGTGCAAGTCAGAAGCAATAAAGGTTTCCCACTGAGAGCCCTGAAGACAGAAGCTCCACAGAACAGGTACAGCATGGGCAAACCTCAGTGATCACTCTTCTCCTGAGACTGCCAGA